ACTGGATTACTTAAACCCTAAACCCTAAACCCCTAAACCCCTAAACCCTAAACCCTAAAACCCTAAACCCCAAAACCCAAAACCCTAAACCCCAAAACCCTAAACCCTAAACCCGAAACCCTAAACCTTGAACCCAAAACCCCAAAACCCTAAACCCTAAACCCGAAACCCTAAACCCTGAACCCTAAACCTCAAAACCCTAAACCCAAAACCCCTAAACCCCTAAACCCTGAACCCAAAACCCCTAAACCCCAAACCCTAAACCCCAAAACCCAAACCCCAAAACCCCTAAACCCCTAAACCCCTAGAACCCTAAACCTCCTAAACCCCTAAACCCCTAAACCCCAAACCCTAAACCCGAACCCCTCAAGACCTCCACTTCGGAGGAGAGCCCCAGTCAGGGCACGAGCCACAGACTTAGCCCAGAGATCCCGGAATGAGACGGGTGAGTCCTAACATAGGGTTTAGGGTTTAGGGTTTAGGGTTCCGGGTTTAGGGTTGAGGGTTTTGGGTTTAGGATTTAGGGTTTAGGGTTTAGGGTTCAGGGTTGAGGGTTTAGGGTTGAGGGTTTAGGGTTCAGGGTTTAGTGTTTAGGGTTTTAAACATATCCTAAACCCTAAACCCCTCAATAAAAACAAAGAGATACCCTAGGCCCTTAAACCGTAAGCCATAGGGTTATATAGGGTTTAGGGTTTTAAACATATCCTAAACCCTGAACCCCTCAATAAAAACATACAGTTTCCCTAGGCCCTAAACCGTAAGCCCTACAATCGAAACCGCTAGAAGCCCTACGCCCTACAATAGAAACCTTTTAGAAACCCTAAACCCTAAACTCTACAGTCTACTACATAGGTACTTGGGGCATTCTACTATACGTATCCCTAAACCCTAAACCCTACACCCTACTACTACGCTCTAAACCCAAATCCCTACACCCTAAAACCTACACCCTAAACCATGCCACTGTACTTAGGGCCCTGCAGCCTGAAGCTTATGATTTACACCCCACATCCTACTACAGACCCCTAAACCCTAAACCTTAAGACCCCTAAGCCCCAGGAACCCTAAACCTTAGGACCCCTAAACCTTTAAACTTGGGACCCCTAAACCCTAGGAGCCCTAAACCCGAGACGCCACAAACCCTGGAACCCTAAACTCTAGGACCCCTAAACCATAGGACCTCTAAACCCTAAAACCTTAGGACCCTAAACCCTCGGAACACTTAGCACCCCTAAACCCTAGGAGCCCTAAACCTTAGGACCCAAAACCCTCAAGCCTACCCTAGGACCCCTAAACCCTACCCTAGGAACCAGGAGGACTCTAGGATCACCATAAACCCTAAACAGTAAACCTTTGGACCCCTTCCTTTCCAGGACCCCTAAACCCCAAACCCTAAACCCCTAAACCCCTACACCCTACACCCTACACCCTACACCCTAAACCCCTAAACCCCAATCCCTAACCCCAAACCCCTAAACCCTAAACTCCTAAACCCTAAACCCTAGGACCCTTCGGGCCTGAAGCTCCAGGGGCAAATCTAAGTCGCCAAGCTCCAGAGCTCCGTCCCTGGAGCTCAGGGGCTTGGCGTTTCAGGGTTTTTAGGGCTTTTAGGGGTTTTAGAGGGTTGGGTTGTTTTGGAAATTTGGGTTTAGGGATTTTTAGGCGTAGGGTTTTTAGGGTTTTTAGGTGTTTTTAGGGTTTAGGGTTTAGGGTTTTGAAGGGTTTTAGAGTTTAAGCCTTTGGGGGGTCTTAGTTTTAGAGTTCAGGGTTTATAGGGGTTGTTAGAACCTAAGGGTTTCAGGGCTTAGGAGTTTTAGGGCTTAGGGTCTTTAGGGTTTAGGGTTTTTAGGGCTTAGGTTTCTTAGTGCTTAAGGATTCTAGGGCTTAGGGCTTGTGGGGCTTAGGGTTTTAAGGCTTAATCGCGTTCATGGGCTTGGTGGTTCTGCTTGGCAGAATTGGAAGATCTGAGGTGAACAGAAGAGGCTTTGGGGCTTAGGGTTTAGGTTTAGGGCTTTAGG